TATGTTCTGGATTTGTCCTGTACAGCAAAAGTATGGATTTATCTGTATCCACATGTTGCACAATACAAAACAGAAAATCTCCCATCTAACTCGATAGACCTGCATATTAGAACAGGAAAGCTATTATTTTTTATCACCATATTGCCAGATAGCTTTTCTGTAAGACCACCTTCTAGAAGAAGTAAAACATTTTCCTAGTAGAGCTTTTGCATGCAGTAATGTAAAAGGCTAGAGAAAAAAGTAAAAATCACTTTGAAAATTCTTTAGGACAGTTGACATCCACAGATTGCCAACCTCTCTGACCAAAAATGAAGGCATCAGTGGACTAGGAACACTAATTTATTATCTCCTTGAACAGTTCAGAGGGGAGAACAAACAAGCATTTTGAATACTGGATTCCATCACTGCCAAGATTTTTATATACCCATTACTACCAATACCCAGGTAAATTGGCGGATAAATCTATTTATTAAACATTATAGCCAGATGAAGGAAGGACACAATAAGATATAGAGTACAAGGATGTAAAAATAACAGAACAAACTGGCAACATTGTGGATCCAAGACCTTTTCAAGTCATGCCACCAAAGTTGTTATCATATTATTAGTAATCACTGGAACAATTAGAGTAACATATATCTGAACAAATTGTTACAAAATTGCATAGTCAAAATCACCAAAATTGACCCATTGCCGTTTCCCCAATTTGGATGTTTTACAACCAAAAGGTTTTATTGGTGAGTTTAACATATTGTCTTTCACAAGGCTTATCTTTACTTGCCTTGCTTTGTCTTTTTACTGAATTTACGTCAAGAAAGTTTAGAGAGAAAGTCTATTTGACAGACATAACATTATTATAAAATTATATTAAAATGAATATGTATTATGTAATCTTGAGATTTTTCTGTAAAATAGTGTGTTACAGGCTAGTTTGTTGTTAATTTTTTTATTTTTTTTAATGAAAACAGATATTAGGCTATCCCTAAATAAGTATAAATATTCAGATTACTTTTTTAAGTTTGTCTTCTCGGTTTTTTTGTACCAATTTAAAATTACTATATAGTATAAATATATATATATATATATAAATATATGATATATATGATGTCACATTGGTGGTTTTTGTCAAGTTATTGTCTTTGCACTTTGATCACATGTCATATATTCGTTTGTACTAAGTATACATATGTTTGTTGATGTACTTTCTTACAACCTGTCATGTCTGTCATCTCCACTCTTGTTTTGTTGACTTTTTGTTCTGCTTCTGGATTTCTTTCTACCATACGCTTTTGTTTTGTAGTGGGCAGGAATCATCTAGAAAGAGCATGCCCCATTGACTTTGCTTTAGATTAATTAGTCAACTTCTGCCTTGCTCCTTCAAAATCATATTGTATGTGCAATAAATATATGTGCAACCAACACTTTATCCTTTAAATAATTAAAAATAGAATATTTATAATATATTTATTAGTATCTAGCAGTAATAATCCCCAAACCGCACATCAATGATGCAAATTGATAATGAAACACAGTTGAGCACTATTTTACCCTAAAAGTGCAAATGTGGTAGTGATATAAAAAGTTGGTAAAAAACTTTGCTTTTGGTTTTGTATTTTTACATTTTTTTTGTAAAAAAAATTTTACGGTACAAAAACAAAAGCTAAGTGTTTTACCTGTTTTTTATTTCACTATCACATTTGCACGTTAAGGGTAAAATAGCGCTCAACTGTGTTTTATTATCGATTAATATTTTATGTGGTCCATTCTTGGTGCCCAGTTTGCTTTAAATTTCTGGTCAAGTTTAGATTTCATTATGTTCATAGAATCTTTATTTAGACTTTTTCATTGTCTATTTCATTAGTTCTGTGCCTTTAAAATGATCTGTAATGGCGAAAATGTTAAAAAGACATATGATAGATGCCTATTATTACTTTTTATGGTTTGAAGAAACATTCAGATCATAGCAAACTCATGGCAGCCATTTGATATAACTCCTTGGTATTGATAGTTTTAAAAGTCGTTTGTTTATATTTTGTACCATGGTGTCCCTTGGGTAGAGGCTATGTGGTGACAAGGTGTGTGACTATGTCAAGTTTGTTTTATTTTGCTTTGTCTTGTATTTTCTTAATAGGAAGGGGATGTGGGTGGTGAACAAGTAAGGCAATAGGTACCTGGTAGGGATTTAATGAGGTATAAGCATAAGGATTTGAAGGAGGTGCAATAACAATTAAGAGATGAGAATGTTGAAGGAAGGAAAAGGTGGTTAATGAATGTAGTGATTTATATTAAACTGTAAAGTGAGATAAATAGTTTTGAAAAAGGAATGAGAGAAGGATAATAGTTTTTTGTTTTTCATTCTCTTTCCTTGCCTCAGACTTATAGTGTTGTGTAGCATTTTTGCCTTAGCTTACAGAAAATACATATAAAAAAAGATTATAGTATTTGCCTTATGTGTCTCTGTGCAGTTCTCATTATCTTATTATTTTTAAAATCCATTCATACCTTTTAGTTTTACATATGTATGTGATTTTATCTTAGTATGTTATTTCAGATTTAGGCGATGCTACAGCATTAACCGTGATCCCTTACAGGGATTCCTCAGGTTTATGGTTTTGTTTAGTGTTTTTTTTTAGTCTCCATGTCTGACATACATTTGTTCTTTATAAATCGTAATCCTTTATAGGGAGGGAGACTAGTTTCTTGCTTTCATTTTGGGCCTTTTTATGATGTTTTGCCTGGTGTTCATTTGTACCTTGTTTGTGATTTGCTCCTTTAATGAGACTCCTATGTTCTGTCCTCATTTTAGGTAATTTATTGGTTACTCTTAAAGCTTGATTTGTGCAATATGTTTTGTCTGTGTTATCCTGTACCCTTTAGTCTGTTAGCTTTAATATACGTGTCTGTTATCTACATTCCTTGCTTATCCAACCAAGTAATACTTAGTAAACCTATATACTCCAAATACCTGCTTAATCGTTGTATGTCTACCTTTGTGAATTCTCCTCGTTCCTGATTGTCCCCCACAGACAGAGCTCTCTAGTTCTTAGTGCTTTCAGTACCAGCCAATGTGGGTACATACAATATCCTAAGAACAGACCCAACAGTCTAAAGGGTGCCGAGGTAGGCAGCTCTGTTTAATTTATTTATGTTTAATTTCATTAAGTGACAACGGAATGGCTGTTGTTGTGGGGACTCCTATTGCGTACGTCTCTGACACCCCATTTATTGTTATACCATGATAGAACAGCACCTCAAGGAAGCCTGTCTATGCTCTTTTTATTTCAAGCCTCACAAAAGAAATTTCTGATGCATTTCTGCTGCATGTTTCTGCTACATGCAAGACATATTATATGGTTAATTGCAGTTGGCAAGGCTGATGAGTGATATCCTATAGGATAAAGGTCCTATACGCTCATGTCATACTCAAGAGTTTTCCTTGACTTTGTGTAATAATTGCAGTTTGTGACATGATAAATCCCTAAAGAAGTTTCCATTCTTCTACTCAGTGCTGACTTACACTGTAATGCAATAGCTTGCAGGACTGTTATAAATGATAACATCATATAATGAATATTAGTTCTCTGATTGTTGTGGGAAGATATAATGGGTTTCTGAGGTTGCATGTGTCATATGAACCATGTTTTTTTCAGCTTTAACGTATTGAATATTATAATATAATATAACGAATATTTTATTTTGTAATGCATGTTGTTTTTTTATTTAGTGATGAAAAAAAAATGTCCCAGTTTGAGTACGCTGGATCTCTGATAACATATTTATTTTCATTTGACCGTTAGAAAAGATGGTTGGAACCATGTTCACACAATTGTTGAGTAAGAGTTTGTTAGGAATTGTATCCTGATGATACATGGAAAACTGTAAATTGGATGTTTATGCGTTGCCAATATGGTCTTGTATCCTCTTCCGGGTGAGGAAGCAACTGTTTCACTGACCTTAAACCTTATAGTGGAAATAGGCAGATTGAGTCAACTTGTGGAAATTATTGACTCTTTGCTTTTTTTTGGAAGCCTATGACACATTCATCATAGTGAAGGCCACTACCGAAATTATTTATTACAGCTCCACTGCATGTTTTAAATGCTAGGAAAGCATATTAAGGACCGTTTTGTTTCACAAGCACGCAAGACATAATAGAGAAGAATTGTGTAATAAAATTGGTGATTTGAGTGAGTAATGGCTATAAATAAATACACTCATATTGAGCAGAGCCTATTGAAGACAGGCTCAAATCTCACAGATGGGTGTTTGCTATGGTCACACTGTCCCTCTTCTGTCCTCCAACGGTAAGCTCAAGGAGAGACTGAAAAACAAAAGCAGAGACTCCCAGTGTAATATTCACAGATATATTGACATACATTTATGTCAAGAAATATTTGGACACTGATATAATTTTCAGAATTTTGGCTCTGTACGTCACCATAATGGATTTGAAATGAAACAACCGAGATGCAATTGAAGTGTAAACTTACAGCTTTAATTCAAGAGGTTGAACAAAAATACCATATGAAGCATTAAGGAAATGCAGTGCATTTTCCTACACAGTCCCCTTATTTCAAGGTTCCAAATGTAATTGGAAAAATTAACGGAATCACATATAAAATGTACATTATTAATGTGGGTTTCCTCCTTTGTGATGCTTTGACAGGCATTTACAGCAGCTGTCTTCAATTGTTGTTTGTTGGTCTTTCTGCTTTAAAATTTGTCTTCAGCAAGTCAAATGTAGGCTTGATCGGGTTGAGATCAAGTGATTGATTCGGCCATTGCAGAATATTCCACAACTTTGCCTTAAAAAACTCCTGGGTTGGTTTCACAGTATGTTTTGGGTCATTGTCCATCTGTAATGTGAAGCCCCATCCAATCAACTTTACTGAATTTGGCTGAATCTGAGCAGACAATATATCCCTATACACTTCAGAATTAATCCGACTGCTTCTGTCTTCTGTCACATGCTTTATAAATACTAGTGGCCCAGTGCCATTGGAAGCCATGTGTGCCCATGCCATCACACTGCCTCCACTGTGTTTTACAGATGATGTTGTATGCTTCAGATCATGAGCTGTTCCAAACCTTCTCCATACTTTTTTTCTTCCCCTTCATACTGGAACAGGTTGATATTTTATCTAACGAATGCTGTTCCAGAATTGGGCTGGCTTTTTAAGATTTTTTTTGGCAAAGTCTGATTTAGCCTTTCTATTCTTGAGGCTTACAAATGGTTTGTACAGTGTGGTGAACCCTCTGTATTTGCTCTTGTGAGGTCTTCTCTTCATGGTAGACTTGAATAATGATATGCCTACCTCCTGGAGAGTGTTTTTCACTTGGCTGGATGTTGTGAAGGGATTTTTCCTTACCATGCAAAGCAAAGTATGATCATCCACCACTGTTGTTTTCCATGGACATCCAGACCTTTTTGTGTTGCAGAACTCACTAGTGCATTTTTTTTGTGGACATTCTGTATTTCTGCAGTGCATAGTATAACAAACAAGCTTGAAATGTAGCATGAAATGTCAAGAGTACTGCACTTAACAAAAACACTAGGGCTGTCTGGATGTCCATATTCAGCTGATGCCTAAGATGGGAAAGCATGTGAATGATGCATGGAGTTCACAAAAGACAGCATCACAGGGAAAGTGAGGTAAAGCAGTCTTCCATCCCAAGTGGGTACAGAGACCTGCAAAGGGGACTCTGAGAGTCCAAGTCCTTCCAATTATGGGAATAACAAAATACCCTGGTGTTCCACTGCCGCCATTCACAAACAGTCTTCAGTCTGTGTGGATGATGGTTTGGGTTCATATCATGATGGCCCTTGGCCTGGGTGGGGCAAACAATGAGTGAGACAGGCGTTTTAGGTAAGGTTTAGCCTGAAGAAGTGTCTTTCACCTCTCAGATGACGCTTCACCAGTTTTCATCTTGAAGCAAGGGTGTTGAAGCTAGGTCATGATAGTCCTCCTTGGACTGCAAAAGAGTAGACCCCTGAGGGGTCATCTTGTCGAGTTCTGCTGTGTGAAGAGTAAACTTTGGTTTCCCCAAATTCAACTGAAAATGCAACTTATAATGACTTCTCCAGTCTGAATACTATTCAATCCCCTGAGTAGAATCCCTTGCAACAGCGTTCAGCTGAAAGTCTGTAAATTTTGACAATAAACCTGACATTCAATTGGGGTTGAATAATTTTGATTACAAATGTATATCATCGCCTTTCCTCCCACAACACTTGAAGTGAATACTACATCAAGGATGTCAAGATTCATACATGCATAAAACATGCATACTCTAAAGATTATATTATATCTAAACACTGAATTTGGATGACCAATTCTCAGTAGCATACATTATTTAAAACTAGATGCCCCATGAGCATTATATCAGCTATTACATTCATTTTACAGCAGCAGCCTGAAGAATGTATTGTGTCTCTTCTGTGGGACTACTTCTATCACAAGACCTAATAGAAAATATATTAAAGGAATACTTTAGCATTAGGAATAAAAACATGCATTCCTAACATTATAGTGTTCTGCTAATAGTTTAGGCTGTAGGCCTCCGCCCTGTAAGGAGTAAAAAAAGTTGATTTACTTACCTTTTCTACCTTGCCTGGTATAGATATCATCAATCTTGTGGCTGTCTAATGTGTCAGTTTCCTAGATAATGTAAACAACTAATAATAATGGTAGGTTTAAAGAATTTAAAGGGGAAAGTCACCAACCAGGAATTGTTAATTACAACCTATATTCAACTAAAACTAAGTTAAAAATTATGTTAACATTTTGCTTGCTGTGCATACAGACTATTAGGGTTATTCACTAATGTTGCAAAAATCACTAGGAATTAATAGTGAAATCAATGTGAATTCCAAAATGTAGGCCAAAATAGTCGAATTGGAAAAAGCCTTAATTAACAACTATGCCTGCCTCCCAAAATGGCAAATTAACATAAAGGGACACTTTAATGTAAGGGGTGTGTGAGGGGGCTGTTTTGATTAATTGTAACTGACTACTATTAACATTTTTGTAAGTAAAGAATAATTCAGAACAAATTCAGAACACTAGCCATAGCCACATTAGAAGGCAATGTCTGCCTAATGGCGGACACTGGTGTTTAAGAGAGAGCCTTTCTTTCTCAGTCCCTCCCGGCCAGTGATGTGTCTGTACTATATCCACATGGCACTGAATCTTCAATCACAAGCCTGTACAGATCCAGCCAATCAGTGTCTCTCTGACTGCTTGTGTGACTCTTGGCCAGAGAGACAATATGGCTTCTGTATGTGGAGTTTTCCTGAGTCAGGGAGGCATGGAGCAGTCTGAAGGAGAGCTGAAGGAGAATTATTTCTCACACAGAAGTTACAGGCAAGGGCTAAGCTATTTACAAATAATACATGCTACTTTATTCTGAGGTAGAATTGTTTTATATTCATTACATATTATTGCTATTGGTTTTACATCACTAGGGTCAAACATGTAGAACACATTTGTACAGTGTATATTAATCCAGGCCCATTTATAAATTAGAAGTTCATATAACAGCACTCCCTGCATTCCTTGTTTGGTGTTACAGTAGCGCTTGGAGAATTCAGAACACCTCTGACCTCACCCACCCATGTGTATGCACTATTCATAATATACTTTAGCTGTATCTTATATTTACATTTATTAGTGTAAATACAGTATAAAATGTCACCAGGGTAAAAGGACACAGTGACACCAGTGTGTCAGTGTATTTAGTGAAAATATATATACTCAGCTAGCTGCAAGTAAATGGTAAACTAAGTATAGTAATGGTCACCTGACCTTTCTCAGTGTTAGTACTTTTAATATTACTATGACATATATTTTACTGTATAACACAAAGATTTATTTGAGGGGGGTTGGGGGCTCTTTGTAATTTGAGGTACAAATGCGAGATGTGGATTAAAGGGTTTGTTACCGGTAACATGGCAATGCTCTTCTAAACCAGCCACATTTGGAAAAAATACATAAATATACACCTCAAATAATGTTTAATGTAAATCAAGTGCAGCCACTCCTCAACTGTACTGCTACTCTGAAACCTGTCAATGTAATATTATATCAGCTAGGTAAACGTTTTAGCCATGCCTGATGTAAATCATTAGTGTATTTACAGTTATAATAAAGCTTCCAATCCTTCCACATGTAAGTGTAGCCATCTAATAAATTAACCAGGTGCCTGCAGCTGAAAAGTAAATTAAAGGTTACTCAATGCACAATGGCCATTTTAGTGAGCATGACCAAGTGGTCATAGTGCCTGGAGTCTGTAAGTGCAAAGTTTTACTTTGAAATGCTGCACATATGGAGTTTAAGCCCTCTGCTCCCAGAGGTGTAACTCCACCTCCAGCAGCTCCATAGGGGTGTCATTAACTAGACTGGAATAAGAATTCTTATGAATGACCCTCTGGACCCAGGTAAGAGATCAAACTGTTGCAAAACTGTTTGTCACATTACCAGAAAATGGAGCTATGGTATTCGTAACACCATAACTACTACAGCAGTCTGTAGTGGTTCTGATTTTTGGAGTAGCCCTTTAAGAAAGAGCCTAGCATCATTAAGATCAAGAAGGCCATCAAGTCATCAAATCAAAACTGATTATGTGTCGGCTAATGTCAGTATTTTTCCCATATTCTTCTGTTTTTGATCAGCTGTAAGTTTTGTTGTTAGCAATGCACCGGCCTTAACTAACCCTAACTGACAGAAGCCCTCATGCTAGTTGGAGAAATGAGACTGGTTATGTGTTGCACACAGTGGCGGAACTACCGCGGTCGCAAGGGTCGCAGCTAAAGACAAAGACCTGAACGGGTTGAAATGCTGATTTATATTTTTTGCACAGCTATTTGTTTTTAATACAATAAACACCATTTTTGCACGGATTTCAGACCTGGAGTGCTCCCTATACTTTATTTTTTCTATATATATACACGCAGGATTGCACCTAGGCATGGTAAATATAAGTTTTTTTGTATTTGGGAGAAGTGCCAAGCATTTTATAATTGGAATATATTTAATAGATGGGCTGTCCGTCCAACATATAGAAATGTAGTAAACAATCATATCCAGGTATAGATTACTGTTAGTTAATACCCTAAAAATGTAAAAAAATGTAAATATAGGCAAATGTATTTTTTGATATAGTCATAATTCATATAATTATTGGGGGATAACTCTTTTAGAAACTATAGTATCCTTTATCTTGTAATATTTGAGGCAGAGTTTGAAACGTATGCTTATACTGTGAAAATTATTTTTTTTTTCACATGTAGTAGGCATGACAAGATAAGATAAATAAAAATAGTCACACCCTGATTTTAGGTGTTTAAAAGGGATGTGATGGCATTTCTGGGAATACAGATTTTAAAAAAATGCCACATGAATGTGAACAAATAGTTTATATGCCTACATACAATAAGTACAGTTACATCACACATCTATCTGTATAACATAGGCATTGAAGTCTGCAAATGAACCCGATTAGTTTCATTACATTGCAATGCAAATAAAAGTTAATGTAGGTTGTTGGATGGGAAGGGGGTTTACACTATTATTCTGTAACTCATTTGAATGTTTTACACTTATGCTAATCAAAACTCAGTGAAAATATTGCTGATTTGTCATTAAATAATGTTATTTGTGGATACATTAATGTGTTAATTTGTTTAAATTTAACTTAGTAGTGAAGGAGATGACTTTGACCTTGATCAACTGTTTTATATGGAAAACAAGTCCTACTATAGCCTAGAAATCTTTATATATCATCTTACGCCAAGGCCCTGGAAATAAAGAACTTGTGCCTGTTCCATAGCTTTTTGTAGACAAGCTGTCAGAAAATATCCATTCTACTAAACAGTCCACAGTAATACAACTGGCTGTGTTTTCATGTGCTGCACACTTACAGCTAAAGAGACTGGCCAGACACATTCTGGGAAAAAAGGATTGATTCAATTGGCATCATGTGCTGATTTCAGGGTCTTTTGACCTGTCTGGGTTTCTCAGTAGACTAGACTTATTGATATACACTTATTCTCTCTTCCATTGGTTGTCTGCTCATAAATATGGAGAGCAGTTTCTCTCTCCCTTTTAACCCAATCCCCCCACCCCCCCCCTTTTACTCTGGCAGACAACCTCTCTCTATCACTATGTCCCCTGTAAAACCTCTCTCTCTCCCCCGCCAGGAGGAAGCCAAGAGCTGAGCTTCCCACGGTTGGGGGATGAGGAGGGGTTGGGGTACAGTGAAGGAAAGTTTAGAGGGGCAAAGTGATGCCATATTACTGTATTGAGAGATGTGCTTGTAAGTAAGATAGAGAATATTGCTGACAACCTAACCACACACTGCCTCATTGCCAGCTGTGTTACTGTGTTCCCAAGTCACATTCATTAGTCCTTTTAAATAAAGCACTGTATGATAATTGGCTTCCACGAGTGATGTTATACGTGAGGTAACATGTACTAACATATATGAATGCACATTGTATAGCATTACAATAAGCCATTGTTATATGGTCACAAATAACAGCTGTCAATGTGGAAACATGGCTCATAGAAAGCTTTATTTATTATCTACACTGTAACCACAAGCAGCTCTGTCCTCACCGGCTAAGGAATGTCATAGACACGTGTGCAGTAGCCGGCATTGTATGGGGAGAAAAATACAATTATAGACTGGGGGGGTAGAGAGAGTTGAAGGAGAGGGAGGAAGAAAGAAAGAAAGTGAGTGGGACTGAAGCCTTGAAAGAAATCTGTAGAGCGAGAGGAAGAAAAAAGAGAGGGAGTCACATTAATAACAAGCGCTGCTTAATGGAGTAGTTGCAGAAGGAGAGAAGGAATGCAATATTTGCAGGAGGGGAGTGACTGCTGAAGTTCAAAGTGGGAAGGATGGAGGGAGGGAGGAGGAGAGAAGGTAGGAAGGATGGAGGGAGGGAGGAGGAGAGAAGGTGGGAAGGGTGAATAGGGAGCCGCCGTCTTGTTATCCAATCAGCAAGAGGTGGAACTCGTCCAAGTGAGAGCCGGCTCTGGTATGAGCTGCCTGATGTGCAGAGCAGAGCCAGACTGACAGGGGGGCCAGGGAGACACACAGGGGAAAGAGAGGAAAAACCCTGCCAACAGCACTCAGAGACCAGCCCAGCTCCAAAAAAACGGGATCAGCCTCTCCTGGACCGCGTTCAAGTCAGCCCAGCACAGCCACCCTTCAGGAGTGCAGGACTGCAAGTAAAGCCAGGCACAGACAGAGGGCTTTTACTGCCTGCACTTTGACTTCACCACCCTACCCTCTGCCAAGATATCCTCTTCCGGCTCTACTACTTCATTTTCATGTATTTATACTAAACCATTCTATGAACAAACAGACAAACAAATCAAACCACATAAAGACTTAATAGCCAGTACTTGGAAGTTACATAAAAAATATCCCCTGCCAGAAACAATTAACTATCACCTAAGAAATGTGAAGCAAGCGGGCCAGTGCTGTGTACAGATTACAGGATCCCATTAATTTAATGCAATACAGTGCGATGGTATGTGTTTTGAGAATTCTACACGTGGTGTTTGCCTCACTTGCACTCCCCCCCGGTTTTTATGCTCTGTATGTGTATGTGTTCTAATACCCCCTAGAAATATTCTGCATAGCTTGGGTATCCTGAAATAGAACCCGAATAGAATGTCACATTACAAGTATCAGGTTAGGAGAGGAAGCATGCAATGTCCAGCCATGGCTAGGAGTCATACCTTCCAGTACACACTTATATATGTGTGTGTTTGGGCTGGGAATGTCTTGCAATCTGTGTATTGAACATTCTTCCTGAATATTTTAGTGACATGTCTTGTTGTGGGATGAGCTAGAAGTGCCGGTTGTTTGTCTTTGCGTTTTTGGCAGCATCTGGATGTGGGTCACACGTCTCTGCCAGCAATCAGTGGATGGAGCTTGCGTCCAAGAGTGCTGAACTTGGCACATTTCCTGCCGCAACTTTTTCCCCTCCTCATTCTGGCAGACACGTAACAGCTGAACGCTGCAAGGCATTACTGCACATAATACATTTTTGGACATACACTGTAACCAGAGTTCAGTTTGTTTCCAACTACACTTGCATTTTCTCAATTTAATATTATTGTTATTATTTGTGTGTGGTTAAATATTTCCTTTATTAGTAGCATGCATTTCTGCAGGGAAGATAAAATTTTAACTTTACCCTGCTTATGATTTGTTTCTATGGTTCATCCTGTATCCTGAAGTCACTCTTTATTCTGGTGCTCCTTGCTATTGTCATTACCCTGAGATGTGAACTTTGCATTATCTTTTTCCATGGCTCTTGTTATAAGGGTAATGCTTTCTATAGTGCATAGATTTTGTAAGTAGACATATCCTCGTGTAACCCTATGAGTTTGCTTAGATCTGCTAAATGTCATTCTATGAATAGAGCTGTCTTACAGAACAGGGTAAGGTGTGGTTCATTTATCTCTGGGTAATGGCTCAAGTCGATACAGTTTTATAAATGCATGGATTATGTATTTAAGCAAACTGTCAATGGCTGTAGAGACTGCCATTTTGGTGACCCCATGAGTTGCATCTATCTTGCAACAGCAGAGGATTGTCTGTTACATGTGGTTGGTCTGACTTATCAATGTCTGTTATTTCCTGTTCCCATAATAACCACTCCTCCTTTGCAGTCCACATGTGTCAGACTGTAAATTAATTATGGTGTGTGCAATAATTTATTTCACACTGTTCAGTGTTCATGATGCCCCCTCCCCCCCAAAAAAAAAAATAATATATATGTATATATACACACATAATATATACAATAAATATATTTAAGTGATATTTTAATTTCTCTGCAAAACCTTTTACATAGAAAAATCTCACTGCATACCTACTGGACATTTTATGGGTAAATATCTTCCACTATACATATTTCCAGTGATGCAATGGATCATGCTGCACCTCAAATCATATTTTGGTTCATATGATTTATGTAACCACAGTGATTTGTAAACCTAGCCCTTCAAAAGGAAATATAACTGCATTCCTTTATGAGTATGAATGACTGTCTTCTGTTCAGCTCTTTGTAACATTTTACCAAGGCCTGTATTGGGCACATTCTGTAGGAATAAATGTTACCAAGGCCTGTAGAGGGCACATTCTGTAGGAATAAATGTTACCAAGGCCTGTAGAGGGCACATTCTGTAGGAATAAATGTAAATTTTAAGATCTTCCTACCGGTATATTACTTATCTTCCGTTGCAAAGAAGTCTTATGCACTAAACAGTGAATTGTGATAATTTGGCATTCAATATGTAGTAAATGTATCCAAAAGTGGCAGTGTTAAAAGTGTTCCATCTCTGCGGTTGTGGCCTATATTTTGCAAATGTTGTTTACTCAACATAAATTATTATTTAGTGATTATACCCTCACAGCAATTTATTTGAATTTTAACACTAAACTTTTCAACTTTATATGCCATACTTTATGTATAAATGCTGTTTATTCCAATGTTTTTTCATATTCTTATTAAACTCATGGTCTGTAATATTCTACGCCTCCATATTGTAGAATGTATCAGTCTAGATTCCGTAAATAGCGTTGGGATGTTGTGACTGTCTGAATCATAACTATAGTAAGTTGTACAAAATTTACAAGTGGAGCTAATTAACTAAACAGTAAATTACAGTTATCTGAAAAAAGTTTAGACTAATATAGCCAAGCTGTGACAATGGCTGTGAATGAGAATTTTTTTCAAATTAGACCTTTTTTGCCTGCCTTTTCCAGTTCGATTTTCGGTTCTTCATAATTCACTTTTTAGTGAATAAACTCCAGCTGAGTTGCAAAATGTAGGCTGAAACAGCAGAGTAAAAAACAAAACAAAAAAAAAACCTTAGTTGTTTAATTGACCATTTTTTCTAACCTACATCAAATACCCACAACTCACTGTTTAGTAAATGTAATCTTATATTGTTTTAACCACTAATTAATAGTCCATATCTTATCAGGTGGGATAAGAAGACCTAACAATACACACATATACCACACAATTTGTAAAAGGTTCTGCTAGCTATGTCCCACAGCTAAAATCCATCACAAGATATCCAGAGAGCAAGGGGCCCATGAATATGCAGTATCTCCTTGTATGTATAACTTGTGGTGTTTTGACAATCAGCTGGCAAAATGTAAGTTAGATAGCTATGTCTGGCAAAAAAAAAATCTGCTGATGTTCTGAATAGAAGTGAATAGAATATTTTTGAAGTAATTACATTTATTTGTTATAAGGCTTCAATTTAAATTTTCCCCATAGCCTCACTGGCTATATACTTAGTAAACACTTCTAAAATTCCCAATCTAGGTCAGATCATTGAGTTGATAAAAGTATCAAACTTTTCTATATTTCTAGTTTAATTATTGTGGGCTAGATTTTACAAACTTAGGTTTCGACTTTCCACAAATTGGAATTTATTTACTAAACACTGAATTATATTGAATTAAAAATATGATTTGGAAACCTTTTCCAACTTGGCTATAGACACAGTCTTTGCAATTTGCTACAATTCAGTGTTAGTGTTTAGCGAATAAATCCATTGTCCAAATACACCTGGGTATGCAGTTGAAGTCAGGCCCAGATTAACGTAGGGCTTTTGGAGTGGCAGCTCCAGACCCGTGGTTTGAAATAGGTCCAAATCAGCCGCGATATAAATGTTATTTATTTTACCATATATTCCACACTCAATTTGTTGTATTTTGGAATTGTTTATTTATGGATTAACTGCTTCCCGTCACTGCAGAGTACTTATACTTTTAATGTGTTTGGTGGCTGTTTTTCATGTAGTCTGCAAAGCCTCAAACCCAGATATGTAACCTTACAATCACACAGGAGGGAGAATTCAGAGTCCTCGTGGTTGAGAGTTAGGTTTGCTGTTTGTCAAACATGTAATCTATAACAGCTACCACAATGAGAAAATGTAATTTCAAATTTTCTAATTAGGCCCATCAAATTTCAAGCTTCAGACCCATGAAGCCCTAAATCCAGCTCGAGTTCTGCTTATGTGGAAGATTTTTGTATATAGACAATGTTTATGGCATGGGAAGGTAAAATATTCTCGAGTGCCTGCTGCATACCCAAGCAGAAAGAAAGTTAGTCTGGCTACATGTGCCTGTTGTGTGTGTTTGTGAGTTGCCTGCAGCTCTCAGGTTAGAAGAGGTGGGATCTTCCTCCTCTACTTTGACACAAGGAGCTGAGGTGGCGTGATCTGAATTATTATTAGTGTACTGAACATGCCCCTCTCTTCTGAAACCCCCTCCCTCTCCTGCTGTGAAGAGGGGGCTGCCATTGAACTTGAGACAGGACAGACAAGATCTCCATTTTTTTAAAAAGTACAGTAGCTGGCAGGGAAAAGGCGCCAAAACATACAAGATTAAGCCTAACTTTCTTTGAAGTGGTCTGCCTTGTCCGGCTTTTTAGCAGAGCTTGGAAGTGACTAGGAGGACAGCAGCAGGGGATTCAGAATGCACTTTTCAAATATTTCCTTTCTATTTTCCTCTGCAGATTAAATCAGGCTTAAAAAAAATCTAAATAAACAAATAGCATGATATGGTTAACTGCTCTAGTCTAAACCGGATTGCAAAACCTTTACAAAGTTTAACACAAAGACAGCGTCCGTGTGTGTTTTTTTTTTAAATATTTTTTTTTCTGAAATAAGATTACACACTAAGAAGTAAATGTTTGTTTGTTTTTTAAAACTCAAGTCAAGTAAAACGCTGGCTTGCCTAAAACAGTTTATGGTTAAGTAAAAATTACAAACTTTTAAAACAATCAACTTGTTGTTTGTAAAATATAATTGTGTATTCACAAGGCTTTTTTTGTATGACTTTAAGCTTTTTATACTTCGTGCTGATAGCAATGCAGGGTTTAGAAGAGATGCTTAGCAAAATACAGTTTTACTTGTGAAAACTAATCCCAGATTCTATTGTATGTTGATTTCCCTTTTCACATAAATAGTAATAGAAAAGGAAATACATTACTGTTTAGATTATTGGACAACGTTACATATGAATTCAAATAATGCAAACCATCGTCATATAATTCTTCCCCCCCAACCTACAAATAGAGCCTTGCTTCCTGCCTTTTTTTATTTTAAAAATAATCATTATTGTGCAATCTCATTGAACTCCCAGTGTATAGAAATGTTGAATGTGCTTGCACTTTATAAATAATAGTACGATTAATATTTGTGTGCGAAAGTGTGCATCAATGTATTTAGAAATTAGC